TCATCTTCTCACACATACATTGCTGAGTACTAAGCTGAAGACTCATGGAGATATTATGCACATTTCTGAGTTTTTTTTTCTTTATAAAACTCTTCTGTGGAACCTCTCTCTGTGAACTCTAACTTCCTTGGCCTCTCTGTGCTCCTAGCGCCATTTCTTCAACTCAGGAAGGTTTGTTTCTTCTCAGTTCTCTCTCCCCATGCCATAGCCTCGAGACTCTCCAGGCAGCAAGTCTGGATAATCAGAGGGCTCACCTTATATGCTCCACATCTCTCAAGAATAATTCTTTCTTGCTGGATGTCCAATGTCATGGAAAAAAATCACTATTTCATATAGCTCATATAGTTCATCTGATTTCTTAGTTGCTTCAGGTGGGGCAGTAATTCTGGTTCCTGTTACTTCATCTTGGCCAAAGGGAGAAGTCAGAATAAGAAACTAAAGGCAACATTGGGACCATAATCATTTTATTACATGAGATCCAATTCAATCCTCAAAATCATTAAAGAATAATAATGGTTATAAATTTCAATCTGGCATGGGATTAAAAGACCTTTCTGATTGGTTCTGGATATCTCTGGCTGCCAGAAGAATCCAGGTGTTACATAATGCTTTTTCATGCCAGTGAGAAGTTCAATACAGAGAAATGCTGAGCCTACAGATGTACACAGACAGATTTAGTTCTGTGTTCCATGGATGGGAATCAGTACTACCCAGAAGGGTAATAATAACACACATATCAGCTCAAGTACTTGGGTGCTGACATTGTGACAGACTCAGTTCTCAGTACCTTATGTGTATTAACTCACCAGGAGCCTTGGATTTTGCCAATGAGGGCACTAATGCACAAATAAGAGACACACAGAGATGGTCACTAGCAACCAATCACTCACTACCAGATCTACTCTGATGCTTTGAACAGTTTCTTGCCCTGAGAGGAAGCCAGAGGAAAGATCTTTTTGGATCCCTGCAAGACATTTGACAAAGTCTTACATGTATGTTGCTGAAACAGATAGTTAACTCTAGTTAACTAAACTAGGTTTAGAGAGAGTCAGCACATTATAATTATACAGGGACATCTCTAAGAGTTTCTTCTTCAACACAGCCTTATCCAAGGGTCACCAGTGGTTGGATAAAGTCACATGAAAACTTAAATTTGCTGTTAGGGTTATGGATGGGTCCCAGATCAACAATTACTTACTATGTGCCAGTACTGACCAAAGTACTTGGAAAACAATGGTGAGTAAAAGCAAATATTCCTGCCCTGGAAGGGTTTATCATCTAGAGGGAGATTATCAATAGTTATGACAAGCAAGTGAATTATATAGCATGTTAAAAAATGGTAAGTTTCTGAAAGTAGGGCTTTCCCTTAGGGAATTAGGAGACCTGGGTGCTCTAAGAGTGGGTGAGAGAGGGTTACCAGATTAACATTTTTAAGGATTTTATTTATTTACTTATTTATTGCGTGTCAGTGAGTTAGGGGGAGAAGCAGAAGGAGAGGAGAGAGAGAGAATCTCAAGGAGACTCCCTGCTGAGCATTGTGCCTGATGCAGGGCTCAAATTCATGACCCTGGTATCATGACCTATGCCAAAATCGAGTATCAGATGCTTAACCAGCTGAGCCACCCAAGCATCCCTTACCAGATTAAAATTTTAAATTGCATGGTCAGGGTAGGCCTCCTTGAGAAGGCTGAAAAAACCCCAAAACTCAAAAAAGATGAGGCACTTAGTCACAGGGACATGTGGGAGGAGAGTATCCTGGCAGAGGAAATGGCCGGCATGAAGCAGAGCGTGTCCCTGCAAGTTCAAGAAAGAACAGGTAGGCAATTCAACTGGAATGGAGTAGGGGAAAGAAGATGCAGAAGGAAGTAAGGAAAGGATGAAGAGGGGAAAGGGCTCATACTAGCACCAAAAGTCAGTGTTACAGGGGATAAGAAAGGAACAATATAACATATGTACACCCTTCTGTTATACTGAACACTCACTGAAACACAGATTCACAAAGGTACCACATGAGTAAATTTATGACAAAGCAAGTCTTAGAATCCCTTAGTTGGGGGACACCTGGGTGGCTCAGTCGATTAAGCATCTGACTCTTGATTTCAGCTCAGGTCATGATCTCAGGATCCTAGAATCAAGGCCCCCCTCACTGGCCTCTGTGCTCAGAGTGGATTCTGCTTAAGACTCTTTCTCCCTCTCTTTCTGCCCCTTCCACTACTCATGCCCTCTATCTCTAATTAATTAATTAATTAATCTTAAAAAAAAAAGAAAAAGAAAAAAAGAATCCCGTAGTAGGGTACTGCCTTAGTTTGGCTTTGAATCTTATGGTGTGTTCCAGGCCTAGGGTAGAACTCCCCAAGCTCCTGGTTCCCAGCTGGCTCCTGCCTCTCTTCTCCATCCGTATCTCCTGTGCTTCAGCATGGCATTACCACCATCTGACTGTGTGAGTTGCCGCAATCTGACTGTAAGATGCACACTGAAGGGAGCACCCTTGTCTTGCAAGCAGGAAAATTTCCACCAGCTCCCTGAGGCTGCTGGCCAGCTAGTCAGCTATGCTAACACATGCTCCTCTGCTCCTGCTAGGTACTGGGGAGACAAATGTCCATTTTATTTTAGGACTGGTGAGCTCTCAAAGGAAAGGCAAGTGGGAAAATGTATTTTGTGATTCCTGGTGAGCTGTGGAAATAAATGTTTGGTTTCCCTATAACTTGCACTATGAGAGGATCTCACTTTATATATTTGTATGTTGAGCTTCTAGGGAGGAAAAAAAAAGTAACATAGCTGAGCTGATTGTTACTTAACATTTCAGTGTCTTCTTCAAACAAAATGAAGCTAGCAAAGGAAAATGAAATACCAGGTCACCTTCCTCCCTGTTGGGGTCTGTCTTTAAATGACTGTACATAGTCTTTCCTTCCTCAGTTAATAGACACACCCAGGCTCAGCCTGCAGCCCACCCCCACCTTCCTGGCTGGTTGACCTTGGCCTATTACCTAACCTCTCTTAGTATTCTGTTTTCTCATCTGTTAAATGGGGTACAAAGCCTCTGCCTTGACAGCTGTCCTCAGGGTTTCATGTGACAGTGTGTGGAAAATTGACCCTATCTATGTTCTCTCTCTGCCTGGGAACTCATAAGTCCCCAGTAGAGGTACCTACCTCCTCCTATCCCTCCTGGCCCAACTGGTATGCAATTACCTGGCTCCTAAAAGGCAAAAAACGGCTGCAGCTCTCAGTCAGGAAGTGGTCTCTGCCTGGCTCCCCACCCCCACCTCACCTCCAGCCCCACTGCCTCCCCCATCCATTCTGCCCCCGTTTGGGTCAGCAGAGCCTGGCCTGTAATATCCCACAAGCCCTGAGGTTGGGCCGAGTGGCTGCTCTGTGTTCTGTGACTCATCTGGGCACTTCCCTCTTCTCCATCCCCGCTGTCCAGGGCATCTTTACTCTTCCTCAATGCTCAGGGTCCTTCACTGGGGTTCTAGCCACATGGATTTTGTGCAGACACCATACCATCAAAGGACCCTCTGAAAGCTGCCCTTTCTGATGATTCTGTGTTGTCGGGTACTTTAGAGCACTGAAGGCTGGGACAGGCAAATGGTGCCTCCTGGCTAGCACATGGTATATGAAGAAGTGTCTTCATGGTCAAGGCCAGTGGTGAGCACCAGACACACCAGTGGCAGACTGCCGGGGATGACTAAATCCCAGGGCTCATTGCATCTCCCTAACAAGGTGTAAGGTACAAGGTACTGGGGTGCACAGTGGGAGACGGCTCTGGAAGGGCCCCTTGCTGGCACCTCTGCAGGGGGATGGGAGAGAAGGATTCACGACAGTGAACAAATGCCCTTCAGGGAAACAGCTAATGGGAAGTGCTGAGGAGGCGCTGCCCTTTTCTGCACCCCAAACAATGGCAGGTTGTTCTCCACCTGAGGACTCTGCCCTCATTATCCTGAACCAATACCCCCAGAGCCAGGAAGCCCTCGAGAGGCAGCATCCCACCTCCCAGAGTCCAGACGGCCTTGTTCTACCTGGCTGTGACCCCGGGGTCTCAATCTGGAGGCACAATCCCTGGTGTGTCTGTTCTGGAGTTAGTCTTGCCCTCGGCTCTTGTTCTGGGAACCTGCCCCGCCCTCCAGGCTCCCACCCTGGGACTCGATGCCAACCTGAGCTCCAGCTCTAGGACGGCCCCCCTTGGGCCAGCTGCCACTGGGTGGCTCCTGAGTCCCACATGGCCCCACCCGGGCTAGTTCTCCTGTTTCTGGCCTTCTGCTCCAGAAGAGCACAGGCCCTGCCCCCCCATCTGAGCCAAATGCCAATGGCCGGCTAGCACACCAGCTGCTCTGGCCTCCCCCTGGGCCATGACACAGACATGAAACCGCCCCAGGTCCCCACGTGTCCGTCTTGGTACCTCCACCCCCAGAAGGGGCCAAGCCATGGCCTGCCGTCTGAAGCATGGTGAGAAAGCATGCGCTCTGCAGGCAAACAGACTGAGACCAACCCTTGCTCTCCTGCCTATGAACCAAGCCATTCGGAATGACCACTTCAACTCTGAGGCTTAGTGTTACCCCCTGTACGCTGGGGAGAGCAGCCCGGGGAGCCTGTGGTGAGGGCTGACTGGGCTTACACGTTAGAAGCTCTAGCAAAGGACACACCATGGGGCATGGCTCAGTAAATGGAACATCTTGACAGGGTCACGGATACCACTATCAAATAACCAATGTTATTATTTAGTGAAATGTTCCCAACCTGACACATCCCAGCGCTTTGCAGTTTTCAGCCGCCTCCCATAGCTGTCTAGGGTTTGAGATCAGGTGACACTACCTCACTTCTGAGAAGGATGGGGTGCTCCTATGCAAATGACTGCGACGGTGTTCCATACGTGCGTGCGTGGATCAGTGAATGTGTGCGTGCATACGCAGGTGTGTGTGTGCGCACAAGTGGCGTAGGAGAGCACTGTCCTCCAAGAGAAGGCAGGAGCTCTCTCCTGAGCCAGTCCTCCTGCAGTTGCTTACCTCCATGTTTCGGCAGAAGGTGGCATTGGTGCCAAACAGGATCTGGCACTGCTCGTTGGCGCTGTAGTGCATCCCTGGCAGCTTGTGAGGGAGACGGACGGCATGCCGGCTCCTGGGGTCGGTGACCAGCAGACATGCGCTGACTTTTGACCTGGAATAGCCAAGAGGCAAGCTGACTGGCGAGTGTCCTGCCCAGGTTTCTGTTCTGATTTGCCAGCCAAGAGCAGGTGAGAAGGCTGCATCTCCAAACTACCGATGGCAGGATGCCCCAAGCCCCGGCATATGGATGGTGCTTTTTGGATCTTTTTGCTCTTTTTTTTCAACCTGGCCCAATGCAGATATTTACGGCAAAGGCAATGGGAGTTTAGCAACTAGGAAAGGGCCTGAGAAGCACACCCACGAGGCTAATGTACCTTTCTCAAGTTTGAGCATTCTTGGATGAGAATGCTTTTGAAATAGATTCCTAGGGTATAAATTCTTAGAATACGTCTCTGAGCAAAATTACTAGGAATGAAGAAAAAAAAGAGAGAAGTTAGGGTCATTTTGTTCCATTTCAAATAAAAACCAAGTGCTTATTTCCGACTCTGCAGATTCTCTTGGAGGGGCTGTGGCAGGCCGTGATAGTGGATGGGTCCGGGTATCCCATCCCTGAAAGCTGGCTGGTGGCAAGGCCTGCAAAAGACATCAGGACGGCAACCAGGGTGGGAGTGTTCACAGATGTTGAGAGCAACTCTGAGAAACTGAACCGGGGGGCTGTGGCTCCATTAGGAGGTTAAATACTTGAATGCTTTGATTTCTCAATTCCCAAAGCAAGGCAGATGGTCGTGGAAAGGAAAGCCAGCCTCTCACCAAGATTCCTAAGGGACAGAACTACACACGAATACACACCTGCTGACACTGGTCCACCTCTCCTGGGCTCTGATATACACAACACTTGAACAAAGGCAGTGGGACCAGCCACGTGTGTATGAGCAAATGAAAATGCCCCACCCTGGTTCACTGACCCTTCTGGGAAAAATGAAACAATGTCAAGTGGCTTACAATATTTCATTAAGGTTCTATGATAACAAGTCCTCAGGAGGAAACAAATTATATTAAAACTAACAAGTCCATTTTTAAGACTTGTATACTGCTTAATTTCCCTAACTGCAGGAAATGTCACAAAAGACGACTCAGGATGAGGAGAGAAGGCAGAGTGATATCTTAACTGCCTGGTCCTGAATTCACTGGGTGCTTTAATGTGTTACTGAACTACAAATCTTCATAGGCAGGTAAGGCTCCCTGAGTTCCTTTTGTCTCCATGAAGAGGACAGATAACTCCAGCTAAGTAAGGAAGTGATTAGGGTCTGTCCATCACATCTGTAAGTTTGTCCCTGAGGTCTTGACACTAAGGGACGCTTATGGTACAGGAGCTACAACCTTGTTTGACAAAGGTCTGAAATCAGACGGCCAGCTCTTCCATGGAAATCTGCGAGTGGAATGGTGCAAATATATTCTGGAAAGAAAGTGACAGTGAGATAGACAGAGCCCATGCCCACATGGGAGGGAGGTGAGCGGGCCTCGCTCCTCAGCAAATGCGTTCCCTATCAAGGGAAGCAGCCTGAGCATTAAGGAAATGTCCTTTTGCATAGCAGGGATGCTGCTAAGACGGTGTCCATTCAGGGTCAAAATACTGCAGAGAAACAAGATGGGGTTCTTTTCAAGTCACAGTCACCATGTTAACATTCAATCAGGCAACAAAACATTTATGAATAGCAGCTGGATGCCCTGCATCATACTGGACACACACTTGGGAGGAAGTCTTGGTCCAATAGGGGACCACCTCTTTGCCAGCTCACAGTTCTAAGAGATTCATTTCTCCTTCCCACACTTGCTAAGACTCCAAATGTTGTGTCTTCTGGAAGTACTTTCAAATGTAGTGACTGTATAGAATGATTCAAAGACTTACTTGAGGAAGTTTTCAAGGTCATCGCGACTGCATGAGGACCAAGAGAGGTCGCTGGGGTTCCGGCCTTTTACCCACTCTCCTGACATGATGTGGGATCTGCCGGCACAGGACGAGTGGTCATCATCGTGGTTCATCCCCAAGCTGCCCGAGGGAAAGGAAAAGGAGAGGGGGACACTTAAGACTATAGGCTTTCACATACTAGGCTAACTTAAGTCAAACCTAAGAGACCAAGAGTGACACAGGTTGATACTCGGTGCTTGGCTACTCTCAACAGAGAAGACTGACAACCACAAGTTCATATAGAAACAGAGGGATGATTTCCTTACTTCATGAATGAAGACTGATGAAGCACACAGAACACCATAGCATTTGCTAAATGCATGAAGAAATGAACAGATTACATTCACTGTGGTATCATAGTTCTTAAACTAAGTTTCTGATGATTACACTTGCTTTTTGACACTAAAATATGCCAATATTAGGGATCTAAGTGTTTTGTTGTCCTACGGGGAAGTCACATTGTGAAGGTCTAGTGGGAACCATCCAGACTTTGGCTTATATCATGGGTGCAAATCTTCAAATCAGCGAAAAATGTGGCTTTTCTATCTTTTATATCACATCATTATACCTGGGCCCACCAAGATCATACCTGTTGCCTTCCCTGCCCCAGGGTACCTAACAGACACCAGGATGCCTATCTAGATGTATGTGGCCCTCCACACACTATAGGCTGAATGACGGTCTTAGTTTGCACATCTGCTGTCACTGTCATCTGGGACACAGAACATATGAGATCAGAGGGCCCACGCTTTGTCGATCTGTGATTACCAGGGCAGAGACTCGCTGTGCTCAAGGATGCCCATCCTTTGTCAACAAGCTCAATGGAGACAACATGCGCCTTCCTTCATTCAAAAATATGTAAGAGAAGTTTCCCAAGTGCCAGCTAATGGACTAGAAATAGAACATAGAATGATGCATGATATGCCATCCTTGACCTTGGATCACTGCCAGCCTGGGCAAGGAGAAGACACAGAGATAACTCCAAAAAGAGGTTCTAAAGGCTTCTCCAGAGCCACTTTTCCCGGTTTCCGTCACATATCTCTGACCATTTTCCATCAATTCCCCGTGTTGGCTGTTTAATCCTGGTGTTTCTCAACAGAGGCCCACCTGTTTTTACTCTGCATGCCCTCTAGGTCCCTCCATACGCTTGCCTACAAGACTCAGCCTTCACCGCCATCACATGGAGTTGGATTAGTCAAAACTTTCCACATCCTTCTTGAAATACACCGGCAGGCCCTCGTGCTCCTAGGTCTCCAGGCTAGCTGGGCACTCTCTGCTCACCTATGCATTTCTGCTCCTATGAGTCGAGGGTACACTTAACCTGGGCTTAATTGTATGTATTCTCAAACCTATTTATGTCACTAACACCTGCTGTGTCAGTTAACACGGGTGGTCACATATTGTGCTAACCAATGAAACAGGAGAACAAAAGCTGTTGTTTTCAGGAAAACTAACTTAGTGAGTAGCTAAAAATAGCCCACTGCCCAACTGGGGGTGGGCAAGACAAGTGTAAAAGATGAGGGGGGAAAATATAAAAATCTGTGCTGGCCTGCTTCATAAGGGTCTTTTATGTTCTATTCCATCTAGAAAGAAAAAAGAAAAAAAAACAACCACCCTGGGATTTGAACTCATTTCGTTACAGTTGCAGCTTGTGTGAAGAAGGTGATATGAAAGTCCAGTTAGCAGACACATGCCCTCAAAGAAAAAGCTTTCACCCCCACCATGAAATCGGTGAAAAAATTTAACATTTTCACGGCTTAAGCTAAAACAAAATATAGAAGGCACCTAAGTATAATTTCTTTACATTTCCCCACTTGGACCAATTTTTTTGGTCAGTTGGTCAAATGATTAACTACTATCCTTTCAGAAGAAAGCACACAGGTGGCGTCACCTTCATGTGGATGGCCACATTGTGCCATGGTCCGGACTGCTCTACTAGACCCTGCCCTCAACAATGCCCTCTGTGTTTCCCAAAGGCTCTTCCAGCTCCCCAGATTCTCTCAGGGCAGCATTCTAACCCAGTTTCTCCACCAGTGACTGGCACAGAGCGGGCATTCCATGCATATTTCTTGGATGAATTATCTATTTAATATGGGGGAAAGCACCACAAAATTGGAGAATCCATTATCCGTTACAGGGGTGCTAAGTCATGCAGTGGTGGCTCCTGCCCTCCTGTTAAGAGACCAGGTAGCCATCCAGTTCAAGCAAAATGAAGAAACGATAGATTGCCTGAGAAGTCTGACTAAGAGGAATAATTTAGATATATTTCCAGTAGTTACTTTGCTGAATGAATCCTCTTTTTCAATGTCACAACTCAGTTTTTTATTTTTTTTTCCTGCTCGTTATCCATCTACACCTACAACTATCTAAAGCCATCTGTCTACCTATCATCTCTTTGTTTCATGTTAACATTTGAAGGAACTAGCTGATTTTTCAAGTGCATTTATAGCAGAGAATGTTAAAAGCCATCTTACATTTGATTTAGGGTTTGATTTGAGATCTTTACATAAAACTAGTGAGAGAGTTTTCAAATGGATCTTGTGAAAACGTTGAGGGATTTCAGTGAACTCTGCTCAGTGTGCAGAGGTGACAGAAATAAAATGTCTCATGAAAAACATGGCTCCATCCTATCTTTGGTAACAAGGTGTAAGCACAGCAGTGGACCAGGTGAAAGGGCTTTGTCGTCAACCTCGGAGAACCCAGTTCTACAGAGAACCAACATGTGAGTCAGTTGTTCATCTGGCTTTGCGCTTTTATAAGCCTGTTCTCATCATCCCGGGCTGGGAGCTCCAGAGCAGCCACCAGATGGGTTTTTTCAAACAACAAGGACGCTGTTTGGGAAACCACAGTTGGGGGAAATCCAAGCCCTGGCAGAGTGGCCTCACCACAGATGGAGGAATGTTTCCTTTGTGACCACTTCTAAGTTTTCTCTGGTGGTCAAGTTGGTTGTAAAATGAAAGAGGCTCCTTTGCTCGCACCGCCAGACTCTGCTGGCCAAAGGGCCTTGTCTCTCAGGAGACAGAATTCTGTTTAAAACAGTTGTTCAGAAAAGCTGGCTATACCATCCATAGTTGTGGGCCTGCACAGTACATGATGTGAGCGTTTCAGGATGCCGGCCCCAGAGGAGGACTTCCCCAAGGAATGTTCCAGTCAGCAAGATCAGCCAAGAGTGGGATTCTTGGATTTCTGGAGCCTGTGTCTAACACAGGTCATGCTTGATCTGGTTTAAAATGTTCAAATGCTAACAAAGTGCCTCATAAATTTACAGTTAGATGAACTAGCATTGGGCTGGGAGTCTTGATATTTGAGGTTTACATAAACTACTGTTTAAGCTATTTTTAGATTAAGTTCAGGAATTCTTGACTGAGAAATGTATGTTGTTTTAGATATATGTCCCATGGTATCTATTACTTCTGGCAACATTATATTTAACAAAAAATGGGTAGCATTAAGCACACATGCTAATTCTAAGTAACAGTGGGGTTAAGGATACAGACAGGCTTCATGTCACACATGACCCAAATTTATCAGACACAATAACAATTTAATGGCCTTGAGTTGATTTTTATCTTAAAACAAGTAACACACTGCTTCTGTACTTGCCTTAGGAAATCTGATAAATACTATGCAGGGAGTTCTAAGAGAATCCCTACAATTTCAACCCCTCCTAGCTTCACCCCAAATCCTGAAAAACCATAGAGAGGGTTGGGTGTTCTAGTTCTGGGCTTGGTGTATCTGCCATGCTGAAAGCTTTGATTTTACCTGGCTCTGAGCCTACTTGTGAAAACTGTTTCCAAGAAGCACTGGGATTTTGACATCCCACCTCCCCTCAAAGTGGTCTTGCCTGGGAACCTAGGGAAATGGCTCCTGCAATGTAGCCTCTCCACTGAAGGGGTTCTCAGCCAGTCCAGGCCCTATCCCAGTAGCCCTGTGGGCAGAACGACAGTCCCTTTTCAGGAAACGCTCACTGACGCTACAGTAACAGGGATGGCTCGTGCCTCATTTCTAGGAAATGAGAGACAGCTTTTAGTTAATATTACTTAACATGATAATAACCAACACCCCACCTTTACTTTTCCTTGACAGGAAAATTCTCACTGTCAATACTTCTTTGCCAAGAACCACACCGTGCCCTCTTCAGCCACTAAGAAATGTCACCTGCACGTGTTGAAAGTCACTAGGGGTAACAGGGTGCACTCGCTTATAGAGGCTAAACTGTCATGATCACCCATAACCCCTTTGAGGGAGGAACAAAACAAGCAGGCAGCAATCACATCGAAATCCTTTCACCCCAGAGAAGTCTTTGTTAGTTTTTGGTTGTGCACAGGGAAGTGAGCCTGTCAGCCTTCAGGAATTCAGCAGCAATGCAACTTCCAGAGTAGATCTGGGGGTCTCTACAGGTTCAGCTTTACCTCCTACACATACTGGATTATCGCGGGAAGAATGATCCCACAAGCCCACGAAATTCTGAATTGCCAATGGGCGAATCACAATCCACAGGGTGGGCACACTCTTGCCGGAGCAAGGGGCACTGTCATCTGCACTATGCTCCTTCTCTTTACCTCTCTCTCACCAGTGAATTGAATTTTTGTTAAGCGAAAAATTAACAGCCAGTGTGAAAACCGTTTTGCCAAGGCGGATTACACCATAGTGGTGAAGATAGGTAAGACGCGTACATTATAAGCCATCTCTCTTCCCTAGTCAGAGCGCTCACGTAAGGAAAAGATTCACGTTTGGAAAACACTCACGTTCTTGAACTGACACCTAAGGGATTTTGAAGTCAAGTATCTGAGCCAGGTCTGTCCTCTCCTCGGTCTGGCCCAGGACTACGTACGTGTGCGCACACGTGCATATGCGTTTACTCATACGGAAGAGTCACATCAAATGGGCTGTTAATTTTTCGCTTAACAAAAATTCAATTCACTGGTGAGAGAGAGGTAAAGAGAGAAAAAGAAAAGAGAGAAGGAGCATAGCGCATGACAGTGCCCCCTCGCTCCATCAAGAGTGTGCCCACCCTGAGTGTGTGACAGGGCTGGGTAGACTCCTCGCTGCCAGCCAGCCTCTTTTTTCTGAGACCATCT